ACACACTCACACAGGCATATGCACACACATACACAATGACACTGCATCAGTATACTATATCAGTGCACACAGAGATAAAGAAGCAGACACTGATTTAAGAGCCACTGAGACACAAACAGACATTATGCTTATGCAGGTTTTCAGTCTTCATGTACAGCAATGGATGAGCATATGAATGGTCTCTCACTCTCTCTCTCTCTCTCTCTCTCTCTCTCTCTCTCTCACACACACACACACACACACACACACACACACACACACACACACACAGATGGTTATACACCATACAGTATATGAGCCAATACAAAATTATTACTGAGTTCCCTTGCTTAGTGAGTAATTCCTTCCTTTGGACTACAGCTGAATGGTGTCTTTAATTAACGCTATGCTCGTTATCTCTCTTCTCTCTCTCTCTGTCTCTCTCTCTCCTTGTCAGTCTTTCTCACTCTCCCTTTCTCTCTTTTCCTCCCTCCAGTCAGATTTTCCTCCCGGATGGTGCGTTGTGGAGTGGGAGTTAGTCTGATTGCTGCAGGCTTTTCAGCGAGCTTTAATTAGCTCAGGTTTTTTGTTTGATTGTTTGTTTTTTGCACATCAAGGTTATGGAAAATCATCAAAAAGTCAAACTGTACTGGAGGGCCTCAAAATTTGGGCAGTGATGGAAACAGTATAAAGTAATAAAATAACATATAAATAAATTACATCGGCTTGAGCTGAGGGTACACCTCTAAACACAGTAAATCACTACTACACATGCATTGCTACATTCACACCTTTCTGTGTGAGAGCATGGATTCCCCTATGTTCAGCCACAACACAGCTGCTTACAAGTCAGTGAGCGAGATCCAATGCAACTTGACACATATGAGTTGACAAAGTGAATAGTGGAGGAGTAGACTCCCCAAAAGAAATCCCAAAGAAATTCCTGAAAAGTTTCTGCCATCAACTTTCTCTGGAGAGAGTGCTCAGGGAGAAAAAAAGATGGGTGTATTTTTACATTCAGCAAAATTTGTAGGCCTACAGTGTAGTGTTAACATCATGATTCAAGATCTTTCTCACTGGAGCACTCAATCCACTTGTCCTTTCTTCTAGCCTCTCTTCTCCTTTTCAGCTCCAAAAAGGCCGAATGCCAGGCAGCACACAGCCAAAAGGCTGCAGCAGAGAAAGCCTCCACACTAAGCTAAACTGACAAGGGAGGAGGAGTCCGATGCAATGAACACTTGTGTTAGAGCAGAGCCATGTACAGTATAGCACTTCATCCACCCAAATAAACACACGCGTGCGCACGCACACGCACACACACACACACACACACAAAGGACAGCATGAAATGATGTGATTGCCTGGATTGGCTTTGAAAATGTGTGTGGTGGAAGTGTATGAGTAACACCCACTCTGATAACGCCCCTCAGTAAGGAACTGAACACCCAACAGTAACAGGCTATTGTTTTACTCTGCTAGACTGTGCAGCTCCCATTGTGAATTTGTGCAACTTTAGGATATGATGTGTAGCAGGGTGCTTCTGGGAAAAGGAACAATGGCTCAGAGGACTCAGTGAACTGGAAAAATAAAAGGCTACAACACAAAGATGAAACACACATGCAAAATCATATCTGGCAAAAAAACAGAAGACAGAATCTGCAATGTATTTAGCCTGTTGCTGGATTAGAAATACTGTCATTGTAATTTAGGAGATGTGGTGTGGTGTGTGTGTGTGTGTGTGTGTGTGTGTGTGTGTGTGTGTGTGTGTGTGAGTAGAACTGACATGTTCTTGTAGAGAGCCGGGCAGTTATATAATGGCCAACACAAACAAACAGAGTCCTTCCAAGGGACCGGAGGAGCGCCAATAGCTCCATGAATTCACAGCACTCAGCCTCAACAGTCTGGCAGAAAAAATATACAAAAAGACACAGTACAGAAAACAAAGTGGGTGATGAGAAAAATAAGAAGGAAAATGTAAGCATGACCGTGGGACTTCTACATTGCTGGATCTCTTCTGCTTTTGTTAATTGGCCTGAATGGTTATTCCAATTCCAATCAATAAACATTTGAAGTGTTTCTTTTCAAGAAAGAAGACCACATGTATAGCACTTATATGGCACACACAATTATTTGAATCCCATCTTAAATCTATTAAACACATTGGACATACCTGTAAAATACATGGGTCAAACTAAAAACACCAATGACAAATAAATAGTTTTAAAATTAAAGGTTAATTTGGATATGCAGAAGTGTTTTTTTTAATTTACAGTAAGTTGCATTAAAGGATATCTGATCACTAGGGGGCAGAGAGACCCAAAAACAACCTCAAAAACAAGCAGAATCAGAGAAACGGCATCCTATTGGAGTCCTCTATCTCGTTTCTTGATGCACTCTGTATTTACTGGTATTTTTGCTCCCTCGCCATTTTGCATCAACCCTAGGAACCAGCAAACCAAAACAATAAGATGAAATAGAGATACACTCAGCAGGTTTGTCAGTACTAGCAACCCCAATGACATCACAGGCAGTCATTTGATTCATTGTTGAGGCTGAATACAGCCTTGTTTAAAACCAAATCACAAAATGGTGGATGCTGAATCATTACAGAGACCCAAGCTTGAGTATTTCATTGGTCAGGTCAATGTAGGTTTGCGTGACAAAGAATATGAAAGATGTATAATGTGCCTGCTTGAAAGGCAAGTATGTCTGTGCATGAAGGCAGCAGCTAAATCACTTAAGTGAGAGAGTGGAGAGCGATATAAAACATTCGACATGAGATGGACAGCGGGCTTTGAAAGAGCGGCCAAGACCATCAGCCGCCGGGGTGAGTGGAGAGAGAGGGAGGACAGAGAAACAGTAAACAAGGAGAAAAAAATCCTCGTTATTTGGAAATGCTGATCAGTCATGCTCATCAGTGCAAAACAATCCTTTAGAAATCATAGAAATCTTTACTTTATTGCGGCTTAAAACTTGGTGTGCTTTTCCCTCTTCTTCCACTCATAATAAGATACGGTAAGTAATTCAGGCAAGTCCAGCAACTCAGGCTTAAGTAGGCTTGAGTGTATGTGTCCATGTGTCTGTGTATATGGATTTACTGTATATGTGTAATTATAATAAGCATTATGGTGCTGGCAAGTTTGAGGATTGTGTGTCTTGATAAATCCGGTAAGAATGTAAACCTGGGTCTCTCCTCGACATACAGCAGAACAGCTGCTTGCATATGCAACACACATACACACACACAAACTCAACAGCAGACATCCGTTTGCTGTTTTAGGATCAAATTAGGGTTGCAGGAATTTCACACTGATGGTAGATAGAAGTTAGTTCACCTGCTCCAGTCTGTTCTAATGACAGATGAAAGACTGACTTAGCGAGATTAGATCTGGCCTCTCATTTTCTGTGGAAAAGGCCGATAGCCTGCTCACAAAACATACAGTAATCCAGATGACGATGGACGCATCCATTCACTTCGCACAAACTCTATACTCACTCACTGTGTTTCTCCCTGACAAAAGATCCGATGACATCTTCTGCTCAGATATGGATAATGAAATATCAGTCTATGCTCAGAGCAATATACATAGAAATATGAATATGTAATGACAAACACACATTGCAGCCATCAGATACACAGATACATACATGGACACACACTCGCATAACAGCAGCTCACACATGGTGTCCCGTTGCTAAAGCCAGACAAAATTCACGTGTTCTTTCGGCGCCACTGAAAAAACATTCACAAACATCTCTGCCTATACACACGAACACACCCACCCACCCCAAACATACACACGCATACACACACAGCCAAACAAGATAATGACAGTCTAATACTAGAGTGTATTCTATTAAAGCCCTTTAACACACTTTGGAGTCTGTATAAACAAAAACAACTGCTCTCATGCTCATAGATACACACACACACACACACACACTCACACACACTCACAGAATGGAGATTTAGGTAAATGGAAGATGCTGTTTTCAAGGCATTTGGTTAAAGAAAACAAAGCATGAAAAATTCAGCGAAGGTGCTCTATCCATATCTGACTCAGAGCTAACACTCAATATAAACACCTCACTGTGGATCTTAAATCTACCGAACTGCTACTGCATGACAGCTTGTGTGTTCAATTACTAGATTATTAATGTACGGTAGTAGCTTTATGTTTGTTTATTTGAGAGAAACAGTAATGTCGGGAAATTTATCCAATTATAAAATTCATGTTTTCTTCCCATGTATAGCCAGTTTAATAATGAATCCACAAAAAACTTCTTCTAGAGTCATGGAATAAAATATGACTGTGAGGTTTTGGGGCCCAATTTGTGTCTTGTTTGTAGGTCTGTGACTTGTAAATACTCGAGAAGCCACGGTTTAGACATTTCTTTCATCTTGTTTTATCTGGCTGTCGCACTGTAAATATGTTTTCATCTTTTTCACTATCTTTCCGTATGGTGACCTAACCCCATGCACTCATCTATCTGTTAACACAGAGGGTCTGAAGAGCGGGCTACGAGGTGGGGCCCCACGATGGCTGCACGCGGGGGCTGTGGGGGCCTGTTGGTGCAGCTGTCCCACTCCAGAGTAACATAAGACCTTATTAGAGTCCATTAGACCTCTCTGAAACCAATAAGAGATTGTCAAATACATCCAAACATTCACACAATTCACAGAAAGACAGGAAGTGAAAGGAGGGTGGTAAGAAGGGGGACAGGGGTCTGCCATTTGTCTACATAATGTCCCATTCTTGCACTTTTGTTCTTTCAAATTTGTGGGGAAAGACACAATTTATGGATTGAAGCTGAAAACATTTTGTATAAAATGTCATAAAATAGTGTTTTTCTTTCTTTTTTATTTATTATTATTATTTGGATAAAGATTTTGAAAATGGTACATAGATATGGGACACTTAAGAGCTACTCAAATAACTTAATGTCTTAAACACCACTTTTTTTAGGAAAAAGTAAGGTTCAGTGGTAAATGGCACAAGCCCAAAGTCTGTTTTTAACTGGAACATTTATATCTCATTCTAATCCCTGTTTTGTTGTCTCACCCAGTCTGTTAACATATAAGGTTTTCATCTGACAGCTGCAACAAAGTTTCTCCTCGCATCTGGGCGGTGAGACAGGCTCGTCTAGAGACCACAGGCCCAGAAAAAGAGCTTCCTAACCCTGACAGCAGGGGCTTGACCTGGGAGACTGCCTTTGATCTTTAATTAACACTGGGCATGGCTCTGGAGAGGACAGAGTTGATGAACATGGGGGCATTTAGGACCAGCTACAATAACTAGGTTACTGCTTTTTCTTCAACCTTCCAACACTGTTTTAACTTTACAATCATCGTGGAACAGCCGCAGTGCAGAGGTGGCTGCTTTCAAACAGATGTGTCTGGGTTCTTAAGCAGAGTGAGGAGCTTGCTGAAAGTGAGAAGAGAGGAGCACATCTACTATAGCATGGACCACAGACACCAGTCACAACAAAGAGAAGGTGGGGTTTCATGGCACATGCAGCTGGGGCGTCTATCTCTTTTGCCAAAGCCACTGTGAGCAGCTTTCTGCTTGGCATGGTCAGATAAAATATACAGAAATATAAACCAGTGGAGCAAAAAGTGAGCAGGTATATACCACTTCTATTGTTATTTTACATAAGATCCTGTGGGAATTAAATATATCCTGTGCTTTTACATATACAATGTACAATGCTTCCTACAAAAAAAAGACAGGACAAAAACAAGGACAGTCGAGGGACAATTACAATCAATAAAGAAGTCATCTGGAAAACATAATATGTCTCTCCAGTTCTGTAGCATCAGGAGCCAAAAACATCTTCAGTTACTTTTATCACTGTGACATTTTGATTCTTTTGAATAACCTCAAACTAAAATCTTTGCAAAATCTGCATGATGATGATGAGTCTGAAAATGAAAGGCAAAGTCAGTCAGCCAGACAGATACCACCTCCTAGACGACGACCGACTTTGGGGGTGAGATGGAGTATCTCCAGACTCCAATGTCTACCCACTCACGACTCCACCAACACCCGCAACCATCGCCGCAAATATTCCATTATTCACCATCCACTCCAACCCACTCTTTTCTTCTGCGTTATCAGTCCCATCCTTGCTACTCTGGTTAAGATCTTCCCATAGCTGATGATGTGTCACAGAGAAGATTACTATTGGACTACTGCACTCTGCACCCTGTGGCTCAAAGACCTGGATAACACATTACACACATGCATGGAAATGTACATATACAACTATCCACCAACACTCTGGGATTCTTGGGTTCTTTTGAAGGCATCACACATACAAAATCCACATGTGCACAAAAACATACACACAGACGTACACTCAAAGGTTGGACATTAAAGGTTCTGGGCTGACAGATATGAAGTGTGATAGCCTTCTCATCAAACACTTCGCACACTTAGCGGCTTTGACAAACTTTCTATTGTATCACACAGTATTTTAAAGAAACATTGGATTTTTTAGGCTACAGTTCCAAAATTTGAAAGATTACGTAATAAAAAAGGTAGTCAACAGACAGAATGAAAGGATGACAAGGAAAGTATGAGAGAACTGAGAAATAAAATGTAAGACTGAAATAAGAGCTTTCTTACTTTGGCAGGTGTTGCTTCTCTCCTCGTACCCCGGGTTACATAGACACTTCCCAATAGGCACGAGCCACTCCCCCTCTGTGCTGCAGTACATTCGTGGGGGCTCCTCCTCTTTGGAGTGATTGACACATGAACCTTTGACCTCCACCAACGACTGGGAGTCCATTGGCACTGTATCAGGGAAGGAAGCCAGATTCCTCACAGTGTATGGGCACTTCTTGAAGTAAACCCTCACTGAAACTAAAGCCACACAGGCGCCCACATCCTGGAACGCCAGGTAGAAGCCCTTCTTGGTCATGGGACCCACCTCGCGCACCTCAGTGTTCAGCTTGAGAATGCGATCTCCGAGGTCCATTTGGGTGAAACTCTCATCAGCGGCGATGGTGTCAATCTTAGAGAACTGATGCTCTCTGAAGTGGCTGCCCTGGTCGTCGTCTGTCTCCAGGTAGAGGAGGTTGAAGGTCTCCTTGCAGGTGCCCAAGACCAACGGGATGGAGTTGCAGTCCCTCAGGGTGAACTTCAGCTCCACGTAGATCTTCTGGGCTGACTGGCGAGGGATCCAGTTGGTACGAAGCCAGTTGTTCTGGCTGTACTCCATCACATTGCAGACCTGGAAGGTCCTGATAGGAGTGTAGTGCTCATCCACCCCACTGATCTCCTCCCACTGAAAAAGATGGAGAGAGGGAGAGGTGGAGGAGAAAGACGGAGAGAGACGAGAAGGAGCAACAGTCAAGAGAGACAGAGAACCAAAGGCAAGGGGAAAAAGGGGGCAAATTTAGGGAAAAAGAGAATAGGGAGGGATGCATAGGAGAGGATCATGAAAGAAAAAGACAGAGTTGAAAGGAAAGGGGGAATTAAGAAAGTGATTAAAAAGATTAGGTAAAAAGATGTGAAGATAAAAGGGAAAATAAGGCAGACAGAGGTAAAAGCAGGTTTGCGGTCAAAAGAGAAGAAAAAAGTATAGAAAGAGTAGAGTATAGAAAGTTGAAGAGGAAAGGATAGGAAAGAGAGAATTTGGAGTCAGAGAAGGAGGAAGAAAGAGGAAAGGAGGGGGAGATAGCAGAGAAAAAAATAAAGTTATCTCCACCCTGTAAGCATTTGCAAATGAATTATTTAGAGTCAGATTCACTCTTGCTGAATACTAAGCATCTAATAAACACTTAAGGGTGAAAAATCACACTACCAGATCTCTTGTAAATTACTCAAATTAATTAAAAGCAAACTTGCTGCATTAGCCAAATTTTCTAGATTAGAGCACTGTGAAAATATCTCAGAGAAAAACCACAAAGTGCAATTTCCAATCTCAATCCTACCCCACTTGTGTGAAACTGCTTAATTGCTGTTAAATATTAGCAAAATCTTATAGTGTTGTTTTTCCACCCTTCTACTAACACATTTTTTTCTCTACAAGTGAGGACTTTCAAGCTGCAGTCTTGGTTATTTGCATCACAGAACTACTGCTACGAAAGGAAACGTGCTGAATCCACTATGAAACAAAAGAAGCTACGAAGTATAGACAGATGTGAGTGTATACCAGGAACGTTCGTGTCTATCTTACATTTTCCCTCCACTGGGAGAAAGCAATGAGAGGAGAGGAGAAAAAAAGAAAGCGAGGTCATTCCTTTTGAATTCAACACAGCGGGAAGACTCATTGATCATGCGCTTTGGCTTCGCTGTCCAGGCAAATCAACACTGAATCAGAGCGTTGATGAATGGGCAAACACCTGAAACACTGGGCTCATTGTGGTTAAAATGACAGTCATTAGAATGAATGGGTTTAAATGTGCAAATGGATGCTTTTTCTATTTTTTTTCTTTCCGTGAAATTCAGAATGGATGTATGCCTGAATGAGCAATGCTTTCTTCAGAGAGACAGAAAAATAGAAACACTTTCTAGGTAAGTAGAAACTGAATTATCGCTCCTTTTCACACAAGCATTAATGGAAACATAAACCCACACACACATATACATTCACATAAGGCTCATGTGAAGTGTTTAAAGTCCCATAGCAGGCGGACACAGCAGGTGCTTTCAGCCTGAACACAGAAATTAATGACGAGCTAAGAAAGTCTAGGTTCTCTATTACATGTTTTTGAGTGCCTGTGTCAGTGTGTGTGCACGCGCAGTGTGTGTGCGGGTGAGTGGGTGTAAATCATATCTATGAGTGCCTGGTGTTCAAGGAGCTCTCGGGCTGAAGGATGGGCACTTGCTTTTCATCTCACAGTAAAGTTAATGAAACACCCCTGAGAGAGTGAGGGCGAGAGAGTGAGAGTAAGTGAATAAGCAGGAGGGAGGGGTAAAGAAAAGAAGAGAAAGTAAAGAGATGAAAAGTAACACTAGGAAGAAGGAGGGAGAGATAAAGTGAGAGGAAAATTGAGGGGAGAGATTCCATTGGTGTTTAGTCTCTCCCGTCATGCTTTCCTTGGCATCACCTCATTTATCAGAGTGTAGTCCACGCTCTCTATAGGTCCAACAATAACAGGGGGAAGTAGACAGAATCAAGTCAGGCTAAATATAAAGAGGCAAAGCTAAACTTAACATTTCACCTCACTTTACCCACGGGTTTATTAGCTTGACTTATAATATATGTAGAAATAATGATGTGATGACATGCAAAAAGGTTTGATGACAGACCTTGACACAACAGAAAGCAGAGTTAAGACAAGGTCTGCCACCATGACAAGTGAGTCTGGTGACATTATGTTTGATAAAACAATGCTTTATATTTTTTTAAACAATGTCAGGCTTGAAAGCAGCACAACTGGGAATCTAACTTTTTTGTGCTGATGTGATCCGTCACTGCTGTTGCTTAAAAATGCTCAGTGGAAATATTCCCTACTAAAAATACTCAATACAGGAACGTGCAGGTTTACATTCTGTCTGAAAATACATGAAAATAGGCCTAGCGTATCAATAAAGATGGTGGTTCTCCAACCATATCACACAAATTTTAAATGTGTGTATAGAACCAGGATGTGAGTACATTACAGTATATGTTTTGTTGCGACCCTACCTCCTAGAAAATGCATTGATACACTGCAAATTAACAAAAGCAAATGCGCTTTGAGATAAACATAGTCTCACACGAATTATGTTTTTACCAAAAAAATTAGGAAACTCGTAAAACATTCATATCTGACTTGTTTTCAGATCTGTTTGTGGCAAGCATGAAGAATGTTTTTATGGTTATGTTTAGGCCTTTAAAGCACTTGGTTATGATTAGAGAAAGATCTTTAAAAAGTTAATGCTGACTTGAAGCAGTGGAATGAATGTGTTGCTTTTTTCTATATTTGCCCCAAACCATAATCTTTTCCTAACCCTAACCAAAGTGTTTTAGTAATCTAAACAAGCTCACAGCACTTCCTTAAAAAAGGAAAAAACAATGCAGGGAGCATAATCGAGGCAACAATTACTTTTCCTCCAAAACATTATTTGGCAAAAAAATAAAATGTAAGATGGTTATTTCTCTGATAGTATAAAATAGGGGTAAATATGTAAATAGTGGTAAACAGCAGTATGACCATGTAAAAATGTCAAATATTCAGTAGAATGCCTGGAAAATATATATATACAGTATACATATAAATATTTAATTTTAATATAGTAGAGCACACATCATGTACAGCATTGGACGACTAGCTTTGTGCCTTTCTTTCTACCTCTCTATGAAGAGGATGGAGCAAATGTAAATAGAGCAGACTTGAGTATCTCATCTGAATTGTGCCTACCCTGCCTCATTGCATCAAGAACTTCCCCACTTTCCCTTATCCTGAAAAGTAAGCTACTCCGGCTAAATTGGTTTCTAACAGAACAAGTGGTCTGAAAGTGGAGGGCACAGTGTGTTTGTACACACAGTATGTGTGCATTGCATATGTCTATAAATACAGTACTTATTGAGCAAGTGTTGTGTGTTTGTGAAGATGAACAATGTTCCACTTGCTTTCCTGTGTATGAGCAACGTGTGTGCACCTGTGCATTTGTGTTTTTGCATTATGTGTGTGTGTGTGTGTGAGTGCGTGTTACTCAGTGTTTGTAAGCAGACGTGTGTGTGAGCTGCAGGCTTTATGTCGTATCCCTCTATGTACTTTCATGTCCACCACTATGATGCAAACTGGGCTCTAAAGCGACTCCGAGTGATGGCTCTCCGCTTTTAAGCTGTCTTTCGGAGGGGTCTAAAGTTTGCCGAGCGCAAACACGCACATAGTTCAAAATCAAAATCAAACCCAGGTGTGTGCATGTGTCTGCATGAATGTCTATGTTGCGTGTGCTGTATCGTATTCTAGAGAAGATGACTTGACTTGAGCAAGTCTCGGCCAAAGTAAATGAGACCTCCGCTATGATGTGAGGATCTCACTCTGGAGGATAGCATCTATTACATGGAGCTACCCTCCTCCTCGTCCCCATCGCCAAACATTACATCATAAGAATAATCTCCTCCAACCTTGAATCTCTTCCCTGGGTTAGAGAGCTAAGGCTTGTTTTCTGTCCTTCAGTTGACAAGGGACAAGGGAGTGAGGAAATAGGAGAATGTCTTAACATAATTATCCAGAAAAGCATTCGTCTTTGAGATTGACGTGCTCTTTGGACTGGTGGAGGTATCACTTGTATGTCATGAAATGGCACTACATACTACATGACCAGTGAGTCTACGGCCAAATGACCAGCCACAGACGCAACATCAGTTCTAGTATTATCTGGGCACTTATTTCATGAGCAACCCTATTCCCGGACAACAGTGACAATATTGGATGATCCTGCAAAACTCCAGATTGCATTTAATGACAATGTTTTTTTTAATCCAGAGGCAACATCTTTACTACTGCTACTTCTCGCCTTCTGTAGCATGGAGCTCTGCCACCAGCAGAGCCATCTCCCACTGTGAATGCGTAGAACAGTTTGTATGTAAATCAGGATAAATAAAGGTGAGCAGCCACCCTCTTGTTTCTCTCCAGGGGTGTGTAACTCCCCTCTTCCTGCCCTCTAATTGATATATAACAACTCTTGGACCCTACACCAGTCCTTGTGACCTCTGACCCCAACCCCTGATGGTCACAGTTGGGGCACAGCTTGGTGTGATCTTGCCCCCGGTTTCTCTGATCTGTGCTGTAGGTAGGTGAAGTAGCTAAAGGGACAGTAAAACGGAGTGTGGTAACTTGATCTGCTCATGACATTACAACTACGGCAACAGGCACGTCTCAGAGTCACCGAGTCAGCACACCAGTTCACCCACTTCAAAGACTCACAGGTCAATGGGAGTTAATGGACCAGTGTAAGGGCCATCATAGGTTAACATGCATTTACACCAAGGCTAGTTGTGTTTTAGGAAACACGATAGAGAATGAGCATCCTCTATTTAAAAGTTTAACAATAATGGCTTTATCTGCTTGTATCAGTGAATGGGGTGGGCTACAACCTAATAATCTTTTATTTTGTCCTACTGAAATCTCTCTCTCTTCTATATGTCACTCTGTCAGCAATGTCATGTTATATGAAATAATAATATAAAAGAGCTGAGAGTTTTTTGTATTTACATTTTTAGTTTGAAATAAATTTGTGTATGTAATGTATTAAAATTGCCTATTTGTAACATTTTGGGACATGGAATTACTAAATCAGAGTTCAAAATAAAAATCACAGGAGAAACAGAGTTCACATATTGAGTACTTACAACTGTCCCTTATACCGCTACAGCTGGAGCCGGGTGAATCTAAAAACTGGAGTGTTCACAACAAGTGTGGAGCCAGCTTACGTTTTGGGCTCCATGGAGGTCAGCGGGGTCGCAGACACAACAACTGCAGCATATCAGTCAGAGGACATTTCATCAGCCGGTCTTACCAAAGGGAAACTGGAATACACACTTCATACCTTATCTCCTTCCTCCTGTTTTTGAACTGTGCCGAGCCTTACACTGCTAATCCTTGTTTATGCTTTGCTCAAGGACACATCAGCAACATTATTTCTGAAGGATGCAACAATTAAATTACAAAGAACCACAGTGACACTGGCATCTGTTAATTCATGACCTTTTAATTATTCCAAGGTCTAATAGTTTTTATTGTTTTGGTGAATATTCATATACAATTAGGTTGTATTTCTTGTACTAATTGGTGTATTGTATATTGAAAATGTTCTCATGCTGTATACTTGTTGTCAGTCAGCTTGCATTAGCTAGTGTTACCAGGAAGAAAGTAACTATAACACACGTTATACCTCCTTCTCTTCCTCCTCTTCCCTGGTCTCTTGCCTTGCCCTGCTAATCCTCGTTTATGGACGGGCTTTTCTCTGTACTCTCTCGCTTTCTGGGGGGTGGGGGTGAGTGTTTTATGCTGGTCAGGCTGATTTCACAGATGGGGTGGCAGCAGTGCATAGGGGGGCTTTAAGAGCCCTTGGGTGACTTAAAGAAGTTGAAACAGCAGTCTGTTCTCTGAGAGCAAAAAACAACAAAAAAAACCCCAGAAAGCCGGCTGAAGTGGTGGGCCTAAACCAAAATATAAAAAGCCCTGCCATTATACTTTCCCTGGCCCCCAACCTCTCCTTCCAGACCTGACAATTGGAATATGAGATGTGAATGTCTGTGTGTCTGTTACATATTTCTTATTATTCCTGACAGCATATGCAGAGTTCACACACTGTGACTGCTGGCTTTTTTTTAAAGATGTCAATTTTCTTCATATACAATAAAAATTCTACTTTTTTTCCCTCTTTTTTTGTGGGATGCCAATTTAGAAGTCCCATTTACTTCATATCATACTGATTTTCCAGTGCGGAACGATGTGTTTTATAACATCTGGCATCAATTTGTCATCAAACAAATTACAAACTGCTGCTTTAAATGTTGCAAAATTTAAAATTTTTAAAAAGTTTAAAAAGTTTAAATGTGACTCTGTTGAACTGAATCCAATGCATTATATGGGTTTCAGTTATTTTTTAAACTTCATTATTTAGATATATTATATAAGTTATAGTTATATATATAATGATATAACTTCATTATATCATTATTTTAAATGTTTTATATTTTTCACTTACATATCAAAATGCAAATTGTAAATAATAGCTAGTTAAGCAAAAACACTACCTTTTTTTAAACAATCAAGTCAATACGCAACAGTTGTGGCAAAAACAGCAATGCAGTTGTATCCCCTTGTTGGTTGGTGAAAAATGGACTTCACTTTCTATGTGCCCATTAATTCCATTTTGTATGCACAGCCTGTGTCTGGGGTGTTGGTTTGTTGCTGAAGAATGCTTTCAAAGCACGCAAGAATGTAATCTTTAACACTCTTTAGTCTTGTGAAGGGCTAAGCCCCCTGGACACTGCTCAGCAATCAGACTGCCTCCCAGACAGATAACAGTATATCTGGATCACACGCACACACACATACAGACACACACACTTGTCAGTCTAGTCGGTGGATCCAGAGTGAACATCCTGGGGAGGCTAAGCTCTTAATTTGTTGTGACCAGAGCACGGTGTGTCTCGGTAGGCCAATAGCCGCGGCCTCTCCATCAATGTGAATGAGTGTGTGTGTGTGTGTGTGTTTGCACGCGGATGTGTGCTTGTGTGTGAGGGCTCAGTGCCACTGCCACATTATGAGAAATCATTTGTGAGCAGCGGTCTCCCAGGGCAGGCTGCTTATCGGAGCGCAGTCAGTGGATGACGTGAGTAATTACAGATGATTCACCTTGAGGACTTGATCATCAGCACTATCTCTCTCGCATCCTTTCCTGTCCTTCCCTTTCACTTCTCCGCTCCTCTCCTTTCCCTTTCTTCCTTTCTCTTCATCCATTTTTGCCTCTCTCTCTCTCTCTCTCTCTCTCTCTTCTCTCCCCCCCCCCCCTCTTTCTGATCCTCTCCTATCCTTTCTCATTCTCTCTGGAGTCATTCTCATTTAAGAATGACATTGGCTTCCATTCCTGCAGCATTTTTATGAACTGTATCACCACTCGCCTTTCTTCTGAACTTGTTCAAAGCAAATAACTTGAAATAAGGCAGAGCTTGGTGAACGCACTGCATAACCTCTGTCGCACATTCCTATGTCCAGTGCTGGATCAAGCCTCCGATATTGGTACGCATTTTCCTACTTGCTCACATGTGAATAACTTCTATCAGCACAACATCAGTCTCTCCCTTCAAATGGTCATGCAATTGTTCTGTAGCCTGCAATTGTCTTTGAGCTAAACGCATTTTAAACAGCCTGCAGTTTTTCCTTTGGGTCATTTCTTCATTGTGGTTCAACCTCATGAAGAAACTCTGAGCATTTAGATGGTGCCAGCACTGTATATGGCCGAGGGAAACAAGGTTTGGCAGCTCCACGGAACAAATGACTGAATTACCTTAAGCCACTGCCAAGGAGTAATTCTAACACTTAATAAAGGAAAAACGAGGAAGTGTGTGTGTGTGTGTGTGTGTGTGTGTGTGTGTGTGTGTGTGTGTGTGTGTGTGTGTGTGTGTGTGTGTGTGTGTGTGTGTCAGTGGGCCAGCCCTAAGGCACAGTAGTCTAACTAGTTAGACAAATAAACACTGAGTGAGAGCCCACTGGAGGGACTTTGGTAGAAGAGAGAAGCTGATAGACGAGGCTGCAGATATTTTTTTTCCCAAGGTATCGGACTGTGTTGCTGCAAAACTGCTGGGCAGTTTGTGAAAGCTATTAAATTAAAGTAATAATTTTTGGGGGTTTTTTGTGTGTTTGTCTTTGAAGAAGTTAATAGAATGGCAGCACAAAAACACATCTTTAGAATGATTGCTTATATGTAGATTTTGTCAATTACAGAGTGGATCTTGAGTAAAAGTAACACAGCAGAAGCCAAATCCAGAACTTTAAAGGAATTTGAAATAATTTATGAGACTCAAAATCAGAAATGTGCGTTAAAAGACTAGTAACTGTATCAATGGATGTGCGACAGACAGAATGAGGTTGTGTGTATTTTCAATTAAGAACAAATGGATTAACAAGTGAAATATCAACAATAGAATCACAATGTTTGTCCTATCTATTGTTGTGATATTTTCCTAAAAGGGGGAAGCTTATCAAAATTCTTGTGTGGATGCCTTTGTGCCTACAACCTAAAATCCTTTAATGCCTTAATCCTTCTTTAAACACTTGGGCATACACACGCAATACATTTTCCCTTAAGCATCTTGGCCATATGGCAAGCTCCGAATGCTTAACCTTTAACCTGCGAGACGGAGAGTGGACAAAAATGTGGAAAGTGGGTTAATCTGCACTTGGCTCATTGGGTTAACATGACATAGTGAGGACCCCAGGAGTTTGAAAATCCCTATTTCATGTGGTGTGGGGCTCAATCCCACATCCAGTTCATGTTGGTCAATCTGTCTCCCAAATGTAAGCATATTCAGACATGATGTGGGTAAGAGATAGAGGATACTCACCCCGTGCGATGGGTAGGAAATCCATCCTAACTCCCCTTGGCTTGCTTTTGAGTCTAACAGGTTGACTGTGGTGAGGAAGAGAAAGAGAGAGGGAAAACAAAGAGAACATATGAGTGTCTAGTCCTTGTTAGCCCCAATTAGCCTTCATCTAATCCCACAGGAGGGATCACCAACCTCAAGTACCGATCATGACTCTATTTACTCAGCTGCCACACACACATAGACACACACACACTACACATATCCCGACAGTAAGAGCTGGCTTTCTTGTCTTGCTGTGTAAAGCATCAAAGCAGAGGCAAACTGGCAACAACACAGATATTCTAAAGAGATATTGAACTAAAGTAGAGACAAGATTTCAAAAACCACAGATAGAAGTGTTTATTTTCCAAGTGTCAGACTACAGAACCCCGGCCTAGCTAGCCACACATGCACCCTTTGTGATTGGACTGTCACCAGGTGAAGCAAAACCGCATCAAATCTAAATTCAGATGCAATCGCCACTTTCAGAGGTGGTCAGAAATGTAATTGGCCGCACTGAAAACAAAATATAAATCAATATATAATGAATAGAAATACAATTTCTATGCATGTGTCCTGCCAAGAATTAATTCATATCAAACACAAACCAAGATGCATAGAGAAAATCCATATCTAATAGATGGATAGAGGACAGATAAGACCGGGAACTTCATTAGCATGATGGGGCAAGTTAAGGCTTTGGATTGGTGAAAGGGGTGAAGGATAAGTAGCAGCCATGTCAGTACTTCAGGTGCAGCACAGAGCAAGCAGCAGTACACAGTGCAAAGTGCAGAGGATGTTTGTGCACACAGAAACAGTTTCTTCTTACCAACTCTTTATGTACACATGTTGGCCAACTTGACTTTAACATGCACTATCTTCCTCAAGCACAGAGAAATGAGCAGCGACATTTTTGTCATCAAATACAAGTGTCATAATGGACCGTGATGGAGTGGGGAATGTGGAGGCAGCCTTATACTCTATGGATGCCCCACTTCAGCAGCCAAACTGCCACTGTGGTTTGGCACCAGATTCTGTTTAGGGTCAGTCAAAAGACACAAACCAAATACAGCTTAAAATTGGTGAAAATAATGTGGTAATATTCTTTTCAGTTAATTACATTTTGAGTTTAATATTTATCCCTTTTCATTCAGTTTCTAAAATAGAGAAAACAAATACAATGCCTTATTGTGGTGTGAATGAGAAGCGACTGTAGTGTGAAGAAGAAACAAACAGATACACCCAGTGGGCTGAAGTGTGACAAATGTTGAAACAACCACGGTGAACAACATTCTTATTTGTGGTTATTTTGAGGGAAGATATTCCATTTTTTCTCTATTATATGGAGCAAAAACTGACTTTACTTTCTAAAACTGTTTCAAAGCCTCTTTTTGGGGTACAATCCTTTCAAAATTATTCTGAAGTAACTGATTAATGTTTACAATGCCATATGTTGACTTCATCAATAAAAACATACACATGGGCTGACGTGCTGCTGTGATTACAAATATGGACACTAAGTGACCTACATGAAGACGTAGAAGATAAATAAGCAGCGAACGTTGATAGTAGAACAATAAAGTTCCACTGTTCCGATCATCTCTTTCTTTAAGTTTGAACCTGAAACTGACTTAGCCTCTTTCTCGTCCGGCTGAGAGCAAATCAGTCCACAGCTCAACACACACTAACACACAACACACACACACAGGCACACACTTACCGAAGTGAGCGCACACATGCACAACAAAGTGAAGCAGCAATGCAGTCAGGCCCTGCAGCTGTAACTGTATTCACTGTGAAAATATGAGGAATACAATCTCCCTGTATTCTCCCATTCAAAGCTTCGGTAGGCAAGAGTGTACACATCTCCAAAGAGAGTATTTGTGGGCCTGTAAGGACTGCTGTGGCACTGTGAAAACTATTTTAGTTAAACAAAATGTAACCCTCACAAGCAGCATGAGCTGAATTTCCAGTGAATAGTGATTTCGCTGCTGCATGAACTAATTGTTTCACACTAGAATAAAGGTTGAGATGGAAATCATTCTCTCCAGGCAAGTCTGATAACTATCAGCCAGTGGGGCAAAAAGAAAAAGCCTGAAAGGGAAGCGGAGAAGGGAAGACACACACAGAGGGAGACTTATTATCAAATTCCAGGCTCAAAAAGCTACTAAATTGAGGCTCACCTGAGCTGTAGCCATGCTAAGCCACTCAGCCAGTTGAGTGGCAGTAGACACATTCCTATTAGACTCTAATGAAGCTATCTGTTCATGTCAGATAATAGCAGCTCAGCATCCAGGGCCATTGCTTCCAATTTACATTTCTCAACGAGCCGAGCCCACCACTCAAATTGAGCCAAGCGGGGGAATTTGAGAGCAGAAAATTAGATGGCTCTCATATCGCAGGAGGAAAAACCCCCCTCCAGCTGCATTTGACTGGGGATATCAGCACCCACACACGCACACCCAAACACACTCACAAATGCATGCATAAACACTAACACTGTGCTCGGTTCTGAAAAACATAAAATCACACCAAAAGATGCATACCATCCAAGAAACCAGAGGAGTAAACACACACTGAAACATGTATTTGTACTAAACTGTACCAAACAGATGAAGACACAAAAAAATAAAAGCCATTACCAACACACATTTGCACACACGCACATATACTGTATGCACGCACTCACCAAAACATGCACGTATTCCCGCACATGCGTACTCGAGCAGGCACAAAATAAGAGCATGCACAAATATTTGCTGACAGTCTATCTTTCTTTCTCTCACTCACTCACTCTCTCTCTCTCTCTCTCTCTCTCACACACACACACACACACACACACACAAAGTCAGTTAGCAAGCTAGCGTCAGCCAAGCATATAGCCCCTGCCCCATCAGGGAGTGCCTCTAAACGGGAACTAGGAGTATTAATAGCAAACTGAGCCAGCCAGTCTGGGAGGGAGCAAAACATCACAAAGGTAGAAACAGGTGAATCAATACATAACACATACAAACAGCCCCGCACGTAAACTGATCCTGACAAAACAGAAGCGTAGGAGGAGACACCATGCTACAGGCAAACACAACATCCTGCAAGCTTTCATGATTAACTGATGGGTATACATTGATGGGGGGTACTGTGTCATCCAGCCAGTAAACCCAATGAGAACCTTGCAAATACGAGTTGAGATCATGCAGCATTGATTCTCTTTTTTTTTTCAACTTGCTGGTGACCTATATCGCTTGGTACAGCGTTATGTTGAAATATTAAAATCAAATGTTGGAGCAAAGATCTACAGGGTGCCTATTTTGATGTTCTTATATTTTAATAGCTAACTATAGCCTATTGTGACTATCTAGCACAAACTTCAATTTAAAAGTCTCTCACTTCCAGTAAAATATGATGAAAGAAACCGATTCATGCTAGACATACATGGGAATTGAAAATGTACAGCTGTAATTAAAATGTTGGATGAGTGGAAGAAGAGGCTGTCAGTCAGAGACGCTGGTCTGGAATCAACGCATGGCTTGATCATTAAAGTGGAGCCATCTGAACAAAGTCACTCCTCTCAGAACAGAATAGAATAGAATAGTTACATGCACATGTTCTTCTAATGTCTCCCATTTCATTTTGAGCAAAGTGGAGAGGGCTTTGCAGGATGGCTCTGTGCATGTGAAGGTTGGCAGGCCGCAGTGCAGGGAAAGCAAGGCGACTTGTGTCTGTGTTAAAGGGTGAAGTGTTCACCTCCCATTATGAATTATTCAAGTGCAGAGTCGCTGTGTCTGATGTTGCTGCTGCCTACCCAACCCCTCTGCCCCCATTCCTCTTTCTTTCTTTCTTTTTTTTCTTTCTTACTTTCTTTCTTCTATTCCTATACCTTACACCTTACACCTTATACGTATGTGCCTTATGTACACACATAGACTTAAACACATCACATAAAGGCATACAGCACTCCTGCACACATACTAATCCTATATCAAACCTACACACAGACACACGCACACACAAACACACACACCTTATATGAAGCTTAAAACACACACACTGTTAAATTGAAGATGCCACTCTCCATCTTCAGCTCAATGTTTGGCCAACACACACATAGGTAAATATAGTCCTACAGTGTATGTAGAGAAAGGGGATTTATTTTTAAAGGAGGGGCACGTGTAAGCACATTTCTAGCACCTCTGAAGGGTACCATCGCTCACAAACGCCCATGAGTCCCAGCGGGACTGCTGCGCCGGGCTCTGCGGGCCAGGCCTCCCTACCGCCGGCTAAAAATACCCGAGGCCTCCCGACGTCCCGCAGCGGGCCAACATCACACCACGCAACCACGCAAAGGGACACGCTGCACCACAGGAAAAATAACAACAACCTTGTAATTTTTTCGATTAATTGTGGACATTTTAAAACAAAATATCTTCCCCATAGCCCCTAAATGATATTCTCAGTGATTTCTCTGTATTTCTTTCAACTTTCCCCCAAAGTTTTATAGCCTATAAGATCATTACGACTTCATGAAAGCCACGCAGTAAATGCTCTTAAATAAATGTTGGCTGTGGCACGGTGCCGAGATGGGATTGAAGATTACAAGAATTGGGCTACAACAAGACTAGTTTGTTCATCAATAGGGAGGAAAATAATAATAACATGTTTCCTGTGATCACTTTCAAAGTTGAGGATTGTTGTTGAGGATTGTTTCATGCACATATGTTTTAATTTACTTATAACTCAATTAATGCTTTATTACATTAAGTCCATAACAAGACCCTTCGAGTCTTGACACAATTAATTAATGCTGATATAGCTTTGATATAAACTACATAAAACCGTCCTTTTATGACCACCGATTTTCAAGTTTACAACCAGGCATCTTGGTTAACTCTGAATGCTCTTTCAAAATCTCCTGCGCGCGTATGGCGGCTAGATTTGATGAGCAGCAGCATGTCGGTATAAAAAATAAAAGTCAGGATAATTGTATTTATTCTTCGTGTGAACACTGGCCAACAGTACAGACGACTTGATTAAGGAAACTACTGTGTCTCATCATAAACATCAATGTAATTAAAAATAAGAAACTTTAAAGGTGACTTTTACAAAGTGAATGAGTCCCAAATCTGGTTCTGCCCGATGGTCAAAGTCCCAGTGTGCCCTGATTTATTATAT